CATTAGCACCTCTAGTAATATATTTACTGAGAAAAATGGTGACATGTTCATTACTTATTTTACCCGCTGTAAATAAAGGGTTAGCTCAGAGGATGTTAGTGAATGACTTACTACCACATGTTACAACCACTCTTTATCTGAAAACAGACTGAGTTGTAGTATTTGATCTGTCCCGGCCCATTTAGAATTCCTGTTCATATCCACTGACGCTACTTTTAGGTCCAAAAACCCAACATTTGTGTAACTACGTCATCTTATCTACACTTGAGTCTATTTACATTATAATTATTCTACTGTGATTTTTATTTTATGAGTCTTAAAGTGACTTTTTTCTGACATTGTGCAAAAAAGGCAGATTTTTCCTAAGCATCACAGCAGCTCGTGAATCAATAGTTGCAGTTGGTTGATGATTAATTTCCTAAACAAACATTAAATGTTCCGATGACTTTTTAAAATGACTTAAAACGTGACCGACCTAGACGAAAATAAAATCACTGAAGCAGAGAAAATAAACCGCACTGGTTTCATTGTTTGACGCAAGTACAAGCTATGAGATGAAATAAGTGCAGTTCATGCTGTGCTTTGAAAAAAATATTGCTAACGGTTTAAATTATGAAGCGAGCAAGTGGGAAGTTCATATAGAGTTCAAGTAGTGTTGCAACGTGGAGACGTACTCTTCTGGGTGGCAGCGAAGGTGGGCGGCATGGATGGACTCCTTCCACTTCCTGCTGGCCACCGTTACGCCCCTCTGCCTCCAGAAATCAAACAGCTTCTGAAGGTCGGCGAGGCTGCACAATGCGTCATTTTCACTATAGAAGAAGAGGGTCGGACAAGTCACGGGGCTGTTGTAGAAAACGTGGATGTTTTGCTCGTAGAGGTCAGCCGTGTGGGCTTTAAAGAGCCTGAAGTAGAGCAGCGCAAGATTTCGGACGAGTCCCTCCAATCGAGGCATCAGAGTCTTTCCCAGACCTGAAGGACAAAAGTAAAAAGTTAAGTTTTCAAAACATTACATTTAGAATAACAAAACAGGTGTGTGTACTATGGAGTTGTTTTGTTTTGGGACTTTTTTCTCAATGCTTACTCAGGATTCAAAATTTGCATCTTATATATAATTGTAGAAATATTTCCTCTTTTAAAAGTCCCACAAGCACAATACAAAACAGGATAAAATGAGTGAGCAAAATAAAGCATTTTAGTTAGCATGTAATAATGCATTTATTTATATTTATTTTGTCAAAGTGACCAAGTAAGTTTGTCACTGAAGAATCAATAATAGAACTTTAAATACAAGTCTTTGCCTTTGTTTTATGGGAAAATTAGGAATATTTTTAGTTTGCTGTATTTAATTGTCAAAAAAATAACAATTATAGATCAAATCGAATGTTTAGATTTTTTCACTTTTTAAACTAAACTGGCATTTAAAGGGATCTACGATTTGTTGTAACATTAGACTTTATTTGATAAACATTTATTTTAACTGTAAAATAAAGACTGTAAAAATACTGTAGCTGTTTAGTTTTGTAATTTTTTTTAGATATATTTTAACATGGATGGAGCCATTTTATTTACACGCAAAGCATTCTGGGTAAATGATGACGTGGATAGGTCATCGGTGCGACGCTGCTAGCGAGCTATATCCACCCTGAAGGTTAATCTTGGACAATATCTGATGATCGACTCTTTTAAATGAAACCAGAGAGCGTT